TCCATACATTAATTAACGTTATTAAAAAAATTCAGTTTTTGGGTTTCCTGAACAATTATCATTTTGGCAGTTATGTCATTGTTCTTCTATTTAATGGGCTCTGTCACGATATAGCGTGTGTCAAAATAGCACTATTTTTTGAGATAACTCGAGCCTGATTAAAACAGCCCTGTTTTTACTATTATTTACTTAACCTCTGTGCTAATTTTAAGTATAATTTTTGTGTGAAGCAACGCAATGACTCCAGGGCGTACGGGTTAGGTATATGAGTTAATTCTTTTCTCATGTTATGTTAAAAAAATTACGAAATAACCCGCGGCAGCTCAGGCCGCACAGGTTAGGTACAATATTTAAAACAATGCTGTTTAAATATGGCCTTTGTTCGCAGGACCGCTATTTCGAAACGTGCTGTTTTAATAGAAGCCATTTCGATAAGGCGCTGTTTCAGTTTGGCGCTATTTTGACTGACGTTATTTTAAAAAGTGTTTCGTTCGAGCGCTGTTTTGATATGCACTATTTCAAAAGACGCTATTTCCTGAGAGAGTCTGTGTAATGTAATTTATAAAATAAAACTTAATGGCATTTTGTAATTTTGTTTAAATATTAAAAATTTGATCGAAATAGCTTAATAAATAAAAGAGATATTAACATGTCCTACAGTCTCATTGTTATCCGGTATAAACGATCAACTTACACTACTTACACGTCGACTTCCGTGAGACGCGCCACGTGATGCATTCAACCATATTAGGTGCGAGCATCACGCAGTATGTAATTGATTCTTAAATACAGGTTGTCAAGACAAATTTGACCTGTGGGGATGCGTTGCGAAGAAAGCGAAATAAATAGCGAAGAAAAATTACATGAACAAATTATGCAGGGAATTTCAGCAGCTAAGAGAAACGTCATTCATTTTTTAATAAATTCGAGTACATACATTTCTATGTAATAAAAAGAAAGAAGAATTTTTTTATGACTGAAAAATTTGACATTCCCTCGGTTGTATTCCCATTCCTACCTATCTCTTACTAGTAATTGAATCGTGAGAAATTTTGCCACAAATTGAAACAAAAAAATGTTTTAAAGTTTTCTGTAGGGTTAGGGGTAGAACTGTGGAGTTCGACATACAGCCACCTCCACGTGGTGAGTTCTGGGTCATTTTTATTAAAAAAAAAAAAAACAAGCAGAGCTGCATTTTGGCATCAAAAAAAAATTGTTGTAGAGGACATTCAAATTTTTTCCGTTGCTAAGTATCCCAAAAGGCACCTATTGCCTACGCAGACTTCATTTTCCAATTTTTTTTTATTTACGTCTATTTTCCCTCCCCCCTAGTGTACATATTTTATTGTACTGTACTTGTGGTCTAAAATTAGCTTTAAAATCCATAAGAATAATTATTATGGTTTGTATTTTACTACATAGGTGTGCCAAAATTAACAATAATTGAGAAAAATTGTGTTCATGTTCCTAATATGAGACGATTAAAAACATTAAACATTGAAAACATTTTGGCTACCTTGTATATAAACGTTCTTGCATGCAAGTTTTAGGCAAATAAAAAAAAATAATAGTTCTAGATTTTATTATATTCACGTTATTCGAATTTGAAGTCATTATTACACTTTCTTATCTACATCAGATCACGTTTTAAACATTCAAAAATTCTATAGGTATTTAACAGTAAATTTTTCGTATACTTAACATAATGTGATTTTAAGTAAATCTTTATTTATAATTTTCGTATACATACCTACAGAGTCTTAATACAAACATATTTTTTGTAAAATTTTGTTAATAAATATTTTCTTATCCTAGTGTGTTTTGGCATTCTAAATATATATGTTTTTTTTTAGTTATATGTTATAACATAATATTCATTAAATACACACGGAAGCGTGGAAAAGCCACAAAATATATATTTTTATTTTTATGAATTTAATAACTTAAATAAAAGTTAAACAACATTAATAATTGAAAATAATTGTTTTAAGTTGTTATTACGCGAGGAACACAGAGGAAGATGAAGTAACTATAAGAAATGAATCGAGAGTAACTATGATTTTTGCACGAGCTTTAACGAATTTCAGAATGAAGCTAGTATATGATTTTGATATAAGAACCAAAAAGGTAAAAGTCCCAAATATTATTTTTAAGGGGAAAGATCCCAAGTACAGGGTAAAGGGGCTAAATATTTTTACTTGAATAGGCTTGAGAAGTAAAGTGTCCAAATATTTTTAGATGGGCAGGCTTAAGTAGTAAAGAGACAAATGAGTAAAGGGGTAAATGGGATAAATTGGGTAAAGGGACAATGTGGATACATGGTACAGGGGTAAAGATGTAAAGGGACAAAGGAACAAATGGGTTAATTGGTAATGGAGTAATGATTAAAGAGGTAAAGAGACAAAAAGGTAATGGAGCAAATGGTCAAAGGGTAATATTAAAAGGCGAAATAGTAAAAAGGGACCAAAAATATATACATGGACAGGCGTAAGGTTATTTACATGGACAGGCTTAAGGTATAAATGTGCCAAATATTCAGGAGTAAGGGATAAAAGGACCAAATATTTTTACATGAGCAGGCTTAAGCAATAATATAATTTTTATTCATTAAAATAACTTAAGACTTTTATTTTTTTTTACATTTTTTACCACCATTTAGCATCTTAAAATTTTTATAATAAAAAAGTAACATAAAATTAATTTATTAAAAGGTCAGTATTGATTTTCACGTTTTCAATTTTTATTTAAATAATATATCGGGAATCGACTATGAGTATATTATCTGAAAATCAGTTTTGTACAGGGCGTTTTTTTTCTCATAATTATATTTCTTTTGTTCATTGTTCGGTATAGAAAAAGATACTATGCCACGTAGAAATTTCTTTCTCTTATTCTGCGTAATTTAAAATTTTTATAAAACTGGTAAAAATTATTTGTTGAGTTGTCAAACAGTGCTTTTATGTGTCACTCTGAAGCTCTTACGGAAAGGTTTATCGAAGGTTATTATGGAAGATTGAAAAAGAAAATCCCATTTTATCGAGACCGACTTTGACAATTCAACCAAACCAAATCGGAGTTATCATTTAAACAAAAAAAATGTTTCTACTCATTTCAAACACCCTGTATGTGTGTTTCCTGGTCGATGACGAAGTAAGTGCTACTCGGAATCATCTATTTTTTCGAGTTGTAAGTAAGAAAAATCGGTTTTTCCGAGTTCTGAATTGGAATAATTTATTTTTTCGGGTTCTAAGTAAGAAAAACCGGTTTTTCCGAGTTCTGAGTTGGTATTAATCTATTTATCCGAGTTTCTAAGTCGTAATAATGTATTTTTCTGAGTTTTAGGTCGGAGTCATCTTTTTTCCGAGTTATATAAGTCTGAATAATCAATTTTTTTCGAGTTCTAAGTAAGAAAAATCGGATTTTCCGAGTTCTGAGTTGGTATTAATCTATTTTTCCGAGTTTTGTGTCGGAATAGTTTATTTTTTCAAGTTTTAAGTAAGAAAAATCGCTTTTTCCGAGTTCTGAGTTGGAATAATCTATTTTTCCGAGTTCTAAATCGGTAAATCGATTTTTCCGAGTATCTAAGTCGGACTAATCTATTTATCCGAGTTTCTAAGTCGTCATAATCTAATTTTCTGTGTTCTAAGTCGGAACAATCTCTTTTTCCGAGTTCTAAATCAGAATGATCAATTTTTTCAAATTCTAAGTAACAAAAATCGGTTTTTCCGAGTTCTGAATTGGAATAATTTATTTTTTCGGATTGTAAGTAAAAAAAATCGGGTTTTTCGAGTTCTAAGTCGGAATAATTAATTTTTCTGAGTTCTAAGTCGAAATAATCTATTTTCCGAGTTATATAAGTCTGGATAATCTATTTTTTCGAGTTCTAGGTAAGAAAAATCGGTTTTTCCGAGTTCTGAGTTAGAATAATCTATTTTTCCGAGTTTTAAGTCTGAATAATCTATTTTTTCGAGTTTTAAGTAAGAAAAATCGATTTTTCCGATTTCTGAGTTGGAAAATCTATGTTTCCGAGTTCTAAGTCGGACAAATCGATTTTTCCGAGTATCTAAGTCAGACTAATCTATTTATCCGAGTTTCTAAGTCGTAATAATCTATTTTTCTTAGTTCTAAGACGGAATAATCTCTATCTTCCGAGTTTTAAATCAGAATAATCAATTTTTTCGAATTCTAAGCAACAAAAATCGTTTTTTCCAAGTTCTGAATTGGAATAATTTATTTTTTCGAGTTCTAAGTAAGAAAAATCGGTTTTTCCGAGTTCTGAGTTGGTATTAATCTATTTTTCCGAGTTTTATGTCGGAATAATTTATTTATTTGAGTTTTAAGTCGGAATAATCTATTTTTGGAGTTCTAAGTCTGAAAATATATTTTTTAAATTTCTAACTAAGAAAAATCGGTTTTTCCGAGTTCTGAGTTAGAATAATCTATTTTTCCGAGTTTTAAGTCTGAATAATCTATTTTTTCGAGTTTTAAGTAAGAAAAATCGATTTTTCCGATTTCTGAGTTGGAATAATCTATTTTTCCGAGTTCTAAGTCGGACAAATCGATTTTTCCGAGTTTCTAAGTCGGAATAATCTATTTTTCCGAGTTGTAAGTCAAAAAAATCGAGTTATGAGATGGAATAATCTATTTCAATTTTAAATAGGTGTTTTAGAAGAGTGAATTATCTGCTCTTTGAGTTCAGTAATATCCTAATAAAATTCGTATGAGGTGCGATTTTGTTTATCTTTTATCAATTACATTGTAGGTAAACAAAGGTCATTTCATCAACACAGGTACCTTGGTACAAATGACTTTCAGTTTAACCTTGAAGCCGGTAAACAAATTGAGGTGAAACTAAATGTATATAATGTTTAAAATAGACATCAACCACTGTATTTTGTAAACATCATAATAAAACATGAACACCGTATATCCCACGCTACAAGATATTTTATATCAGTTTTGATATAGTAAAATAGTTAATATTTTTTTTTTGTTTTCAGATTCTATAATGAAAAATGTCGTCACTAAACGAAAGAAATATAAAAGATGTGCGCGACATATGGAACACAGGCCTGGACTCAGACAAAGAAAACCCAAAAATACCAATCGACAATAACATAGATAATAGAACGAAGCACAAATACAAAACCTTAGAACGGCACCTGAGCATGAAAAAAACGATAAGAAGAAAAATGATGAGAGATCTCAGAGAAATCGGTGATGCCCAAGCCGAGGACGCCGCCCAAAATGAGACTGGATTTTTAGAACAAATCAGGAACGATCAACCTGCACCTGCTAACGTAGACAAACCCAGTTTGTGGAAGAGGTTAACTAAAGGATGGGGGCACTAACTGGAAGTAATACAAATTGTTTTCATATGGCTTAAAGGCTTTTAAATAATTGAAATATCAAAATTTGTTGTGATTGCAGAGTTATGGATGAAAACTGTCGTAGTTCCAAAGTACATATCAAATTTATTGCAAGCTGTAATATAGATTCTTGGTATAGTTCTAATATACAGTGAGGAGGAATTAAATATTACCCCCTGTAAAGTACGTTAGTTGAAACAAAGGTGAATAAAATAAGCCAGGGATCATCAGTTTTTATTTTAATCAAGGCTTTATATGACAAACAAGTTTTATGACAGCCAGTCCCCCAATTTTTTAAATAGCACGAGGCACTTCATTTAAAGGCTCTTTTTTTAATATTAATTAAAAATTTATCACACTTAAGATCTTATGTGACATACTTAAATTAAAAAGTAAATAAAGATAAGTAATCTCATAAATTTTAAAAATGTAATCATAATGAAGTAGAATAATTTCAATAATAAAACCTAATCTAAAATCTAATCTGCTTAAAATCTTCTCCTTACATACTGGCAAAAATGTATGTTGTTTTTATTCTTTGAATTCAGTTTTTCAAGGTCTTTCAAATGAAGTGTCATACGATCCCTCGTTATTAAAAAAATTGAAGGGTTGGCTGTCACTCGGAGGGGATGAAATGGGAGGCAGAATTTTTGTGTTTATATGGGGTAAAACTTAATCTCCACAATGTATACAAGGTGGACCGGATTTAATTTGGGTAATTAGAGATCTCGTAAACTACTTGTCGGTTAAATGGAGAAAATTTAACATTTTCTATTTTGATGAATAATTCAACGGCCTATAAAAATTATTGATTTTCCAGTTACTTCCGGAAATATTCGACAAAATCCGAAAAGGCTTAATTACGTTTTTTGAGTCTAGATTATAAAAGATATATAAAAAAATGATTCGAAGTATTTGTTATAAATAATCAAATTCCCTATATTCTGTCGTACCAAAATATTCCTCATTTCCATATTTCCATCAGGACCAGCATCAAGTAATTTTTTTAAATACGTACATGGGTTTCTATTTATCGTATAATTGTTTCCATACCTATGATTTAATAAAAGTAAATAACACAAAACTAGTCATTCAAATAACTTTATATTGTTTAAAAATACACAACAAATCACGGCTATCACGTATAAAACATTAATGCTAAACAAGTTTTTGTGTCCACAAGTGTCCATCTTGATTTCTATCCGACAGCATCTCGGATAGACTCACTGTCTACATAGGAGCAAGGCAAAAATTTTCGTAATTCTCTTGCGTATAAACATTCCATATCTGAGATATCGAGCGCAATCGACGTCGCCTAATCTGAGACCCTGAATACGTGAATTGAAGGCGCTACAACTTTTAGCCCTGCCAGCCAGCAGCAGCAGCTAATGGAAAATATATTGAATGCCAGGGATGAACTGGCAGATTGTCATATGAAAGTTATAAATAGACGTGGATATTTTTTAATGTTAAAAAAATATGGGTAGATAACATAATACATTTTTATTTATCTAAATTGGCTTCCTTTTGTAATGGGGGCTATAGCCCTTACAGACAAGCAGTCACTGGATATGACACTTCGATTATAATAATAGATTAAAAAAATGAATGCTGGGACGAAATAATAAATATGTTTGCCGAAGAGCATACGACAATAGATGACAAAAAAAGGGAAAATACTGCTTTTGATTTGAATCTCCGCAGCTAACTACAAAAAGAGAAATACTTTGTCACAAACCGCGGTCTGTGTCTTTCTCTAATAGCGTCTGGACGGCAGGTGAATTTGGCTTCCGAAGTGTAAGTTCAGGCCCCACGTTGGGCGCCAATTGTAAGGTAGGTTTAGGGTTCTGCGTGATTACAGACGGTGATTTGTGGGATTTGGCGGAATAAAAGTGAGCAGGGTTTAAAGTGTATCTGAGGTCATTGTAGGTCATCTAGATGGATGTAGGATCAAATTGTATTTTTCCTAAAGCAAGTCCTTCCTTTTGTAGCGAACTTTTAAAAAAGCTGCCGGGCCCCGGGAATTTGTCCCCCTCGTCGGGCCTGGCTAAATGTAGAATCTTTATGGACAACTCAATTATTAATCAGAAACTTTTTTCCTTATTTATCCGATATTCTTTATCTTGCGGTTTGTGGTTCAGGAGATCTCTGTATAAACAAATTAAAATCGTACATCCTTGGGGGTTGATTCAAAAGTTGAAATACTTTATAACATTTTTACAAACAAAACTAAAGTTGGCATGTTTTGAAAGCTTAGTAAAACTTCGATAATAGACAGTATTAAAAATAAAAAAAAATCCAAAATCTACGTTGTCGAATTAATGAATTTGATCTTCCTTTTTATTAACGTATAATACCAAAAGTATTTTACATGAATAATTTAGTTTTTAATGAAAATGGTGATATATTAGCTTTTGTTTTGAATTAGCTTTAAGACTTAAATTTTTCTGTTCCTAGTTTTTTTTTTTTTTTTAGTTAGGTATTTATATTTTCTTCACTTATTTGCGAATCTGAAACGTTATTATTTTCTCGTTTTTTTATTATAAATTTTCTTGCCAGTTATAGTTTTTCCCAATCGGCAACTTGCTTACTATACCTATTTAAATTCAAAAAGCCAATATCATAATTATTATAATAGTAAAGTGGGTTGCTACGGTTGTTTTGTAGATAATTATAATTTTATATATTTTTTTTCGTTAGCAAATTAATGTTAATGTATGCAAATATAGTTTAAGAACTAGATGGATTTATAGATTAAAATATGTAAATGTATGCCCAGATTTATTTTTTAATACATTTTTAATTATATTGTTGCTTTATACATATAAATAAAAGAGAAAATATTGAATTTGTTTGTTTTATTTTCTTCAAGTTTAGGGAAACAGATTTTATTCTTTATGTTTTTTTTCAGATGAAAATATTCTGTAAATAAATTAATTTGTTGATTTTGATAAAATCTTGATATACATCCCAATGTACATATTTTTTATGAGGAATAACTTGTTATTACAATTTTTATTTAAACATATTAAGCTATGTTTTCTAAAAATTTTGGTAATATTTATTGTTGTATGTAATATTTACAGTAAAAAAAAATTAAATTGCGGAAACGTTCTGTTAATAAGTCTTTATTATTAAAATGAAAACATTCTCATCAAAAATAAGCCAAAGTTGAAAATTATTAACCATCTCTTCCTAATCACAACTGGGAATAATTTGAATTAAATGTCGAATACCTCTTTCTAACCCTTCACTGTCCATGTGTAGGTAGGTGATATGCTATAGGCCCTTAAGGAAATTTCGTTATTCAAAGAAAATTGCTAAGGGTGTCTCTGGATGCTAATATTATATATAAAAACTGTAATTTTGACAAAGCCACGCCAGGTGTGTTGGAGGTACACAGCATTTCATATCGTGTTATGTGCCCCCAACACACATCTCGTGTCCATTTAGGTTTTACGAAAGTTTACGAAAGAAAATAATCAAAAACAAGAAAATGCACAATTTGCGACATCAAATAGAATATGTAACAAAAAACAAATACCGCAATAATCTATCAAGGTAGGCACACAGCATGATCGCTGTGTGTCTCCAACACGCTTGGTGTGCCCTTGTCAAAATTGACTGGTTGTAAAGTAACTAAAAAAAGAGTTACAACAAAAGCAGGTATGTTAAAAATGAAAAAGTCCTAGGTCGGGTCAGTTGGGATGTCTTTGAATCGGAACTAGATGAAAATGTGTTAGCTTCTCACTTAATAAATACCTACAACAGCATTATTTGCAACTGTTTTCCTTGTTAAGAATGTCTCCACTAAAATAGGAAAATGTCCAGTAAACTGGTATAACGATTCTTTAAAGGGTATGAGATAAAGTTTGTGTAGTTTAAAAATAGTATATTGTGCAACAAGTGGGGAAAGTTCAACTTTTCTTACGAGTGTGGAAACACGAATGAGAAAAGTACTTTCCCCACATGTTGCACACTATACTTTTTCTACAACTGCATAAATTTAAAGAATACAAGTTTTCGACAGCTCTTCAAAGGTTACCAAAAGTACACTTTCCGAAAAATATTCTATTTTTGTATTTCTTTTCAATTTCCTAAATTTTTCGTATGGCAATTCATACTTTTTTCTTGAACTTACCGGCAACAAATCTAACTTTACTTTCTCAACTTTTTCCAATATCTCTGGGGGAGTCTTATCAAAATCGTCACTATTGTCAGTATCCATATTATTTATTATAAATAGGTATGTCTTTTTTAAATTAATATTTAACGGAAATTTCGATTTTTTTATCAAAGTACGAATGAAAACTACCTTAAAAATTTAAAAAAGTATGATCATCTGACAGTTGACAACTATTTAAGGCTGGGGCTGAACACCAGCCAACTAAGTTTTTGTTGATTCTCCGTATAAATGTATGTGGTGTGGGCAAAGTGCCGTGAGAAAAAATATTTCTCAGAGTATGAGCAATACACGGTTTTGAAATTATGTGAGCTATGAGAAAATACACTTTTCATAGCAGTTGTATAAAAATTTCATTTTCAGTACTCTCAAACTTTCTTAACCAATATTTAACTAAATTTGCACTTGGGACATCTTTCATATTTGCTATGTTATAATGATGTCCATACAAACGACGCACAAAAACGTAATAATCATTGTTTTTATAAAATGCACGAATACAAAAAGAACGTTATTGCCTCGTAAATCGCTCCATTGTAACTAATAGCGTTTTTGATTTCAGTGCTCGCCTTCCTCTGAGAGCATAATAAAGATGGGAGATATCTCGATACCAGTTACTTTTCACTCTAAAAAGTAACCGGTATCGATATATCGCTCATATTTTATGTGCACTCCCCGCAGGAAGGGCAGTGGAATCGAAAATGCTATAAAACTTAACACTGTCGGCCACCGTTTGGTACAACTAGCGTGGGTACCAGGTCACAAAGGTATCCAAGGAAATGAAAAGGGTGATGAAATCGCCAAAGAGGGATCAGATCTAGCATTCACAGGACCCTACCCTGTATTTGGGATAAGCAAAACCTCAACAGGCAGTGAACAGGTGGATAACCACAAAACACCAAATTCACTGGCAACAGATAAAAGGGGACATAATCAGTAAGCTCATGCTAAGGGGACCAAACCCACGCATGGCTACTATAAGGCACTACAACTCGCAAGGCCTCATATATCCACCATTGTGGGATTACTAACGGGGCACTGCTTGGTGAAACACCTTCATGTAATGGGATTACACAATGATCCCACTACGTGTAGACTTTGAATGGAAGAGAAAGAAACCTCATACCATGTGATCTTCGA